TCTCCCTCTCCAGTGTCTGAGCTGCCTGGTCCAGGAAGCGCCGCCCTCTGCACTCCAATATGTAGTACTTTTAATAGTCTTCCTCAATACTATAACTCAAATGCTTCAGTTATTCTACTGTCTTCTTTAGTCATCATCCAACTTCCACATGCATAATGAGGCTATTGAAAATAACATGGCTTGGGTCAGACACACCTTAGTCCTCCAACTGACATCTTTACTCTTGAACACTTTAAAGAGGTTTTGTGCAGCAGATTTGCTTAATGCAATATGTCATTTGATTTCTTGACTGCTGTTTCCATGAGTGTTGATGGTTGATCTGAGATAAATGAAGTCTTTGACAACTTTAATCTTTTCTCCATTTATCAAATGAAGTCTTTGACAACTGTAATCTTTTCTGCAAACCAACAATGAGCATCATAAGATGGGAAGAGCACTTCTTCTATACTACCCATCTCTCTCCCTTCCAGCATGAAAGACTGTCCACTACTATGGACTATGGCAGTGATATGACCTACAGCAGAGCTCACTCTCCCAGACAACCCCCAGTTGGCCTATACACAGGGACAAGTCCAAGTTCTGGCTCTGAAATTAACAAGACAGATCCCCTTGGTGGTCTGTTACAGTTGTGCCTGTCCCTCCCCTTCTTGACATGGTGGAAAACCAACAATCATAGTCCCAGTCAAGCTCTGGCTCTTCTGAGAATGGGAAAGGGTCCCAGTCTCTGCTTCCAAGAGAAGTGGGCCTTCACAGAGTGAGGAAGGAAGCAAGGAACAAAGGCTGAGCTTTACACTTTTAGAGAGTTGTTCATTCACTGTGGTCCTTCTGATCTGTTTGGGAGCTGCAAAAGGACTGGAAGGAATCCTGGTGTGGAGCTGTAGGATAATGCACTGGACTGCAACATTGGTTTGAACCGCAAGGTCAGTGGTTCAAATTCACCAGCTACTTCTTGGAAACCCTATATAGGGTTGCTATGGGTTAGAACTGACTCAATGGTTCTTAACAACAATAACAACAACAAAGGACTGAAAACTTGGTAAGTTGCAGCTCTCAGAGCAGGAG